AGGGTTTAGGGTTTAGGGTTTAGGGTTTAGGGTTTAGGGTTTAGGGTTTAGGGTTTAGGGTTTAGGATTCAGCAGCTCTGGTCGAGCAGTCTCTAGTCAAGTTCGCTAGTAAGAACTTGGAAGAATACCCACCCACCCAAAGAATCCCAAAACATAAGACTTAGAAAGTTTTTTTCGTTACCCTCAGACGACATCAAACTTCAAACCCTACAACTCGATTTCTACGGATACTTATGTTTCTAGTGCTGCAATATAGATAGTCACACCAAGCAGTCCCAGGAAAGCAAAGAGCATGAGCATCGCTTATTGGGAGGTAGTCACACCAAGCAGTCCCAGGAAAGCAAAGAGCATGAGCATCGCTTCTTGGGGGGTAGTCACACCAAGCAGTCCCAGGAAAGCAAAGAGCATGAGCATCGCTTATTGGGGGGTAGTCACACCAAGCAGTCCCAGGAAAGCAAAGAGCATGAGCATCGCTTATTGGGGGGTAGTCACACCAAGCAGTCCCAGGACAGCAAAGAGCATGAGCATCGCTTATTGGGGGGTAGTCACACCAAGCAGTCCCAGGAAAGCAAAGAGCACGAGCATCGCTTATTGGGGGGTAGTCACACCAAGCAGTCCCAGGAAAGCAAAGAGCATGAGCATCGCTTATTGGAGGGTAGTCACACCAAGCAGTCCCAGGAAAGCAAAGAGCACGAGCATCGCTTATTGGGGGGTAGTCACACCAAGCAGTCCCAGGAAAGCAAAGAGCATGAGCATCGCTTATTGGGGGGTAGTCACACCAAGCAGTCCCAGGAAAGCAAAGAGCATGAGCATCGCTGATTGGGGGGTAGTCACACCAAGCAGTCCCAGGAAAGCAAAGAGCATGAGCATCGCTTATTGGGGGGTAGTCACCCCAAGCAGTCCCAGGAAAGCAAAGAGCATGAGCATCGCTTATTGGGGGGTAGTCACACCAAGCAGCCCCAGGAAAGCAAAGAGCATGAGCAACGAAACCCTAGGCCCTAAACCCTAAAGCCCGAACCTTAGGCCTTAAACCCTAAAGCCCAAACCCTAGGCCCTAAACCCTAAAGCCCAAGCCCTAGGCCCTAAACCCTAAAGCCCAAACCTTAGGCCCTAAACCCTAAAGCCCAAACCCTAGGCCCTAAACCCTGAAGCCCAAACCCTAGGCCCTAAACCCAATGGACCCACCAGTGTTGCACCAGGTTTTCGAATGGACCCCCCTGGTAGGACCAGTGTTGCACCAGGTTTTCGAATGGACCCCCTGGTAGGACCAGTGTTGCACCAGGTTTTCGAATGGACCACCTGGTAGGACCAGTGTTGCACCAGGTTTTCGAATGGACCCCCCAGTGTTGCACCAGGTTTTCGAATGGACCCCCCTGGTAGGACCAGTGTTGCACCAGGTTTTCGAATGGACCCCCTGGTAGGACCAGTGTTGCACCAGGTTTTCGAATGGACCCCCTGGTAGGACCAGTGTTGCACCAGATTTTCGAATGGACCACCAGTGTTGCACCAGATATTCGAATGGACCCCCCAGTGTTGCACCAGATTTTCGAATGGACCACCGGTGTTGCACCAGATTTTCGAATAGGGGTCCATTCGAAAAACTGGTGCAACACTGGTAGGACCAGTGTTGCACCGGATTTTCGAATGGGGTCCATTCGAAAATCTGGTGCAACATACGGGGGGACCAGTGTTGCACCAGATTTTCGGATGGACCCCATTCGAAAATCTGGTGCAACACTGGTGGGTCCATTCGAAAATCTAGTGCAACATACGGGGGACCAGTGTTGCACCAGTTTTTCGAATGGACCCCTATTCGAAAATCTGGTGCAACACCGGTGGTCCATTCGAAAATCTGGTGCAACACCGGTGGTCCATTCGAAAATCTGGTGCAACACTGGGGGGTCCCGTCCGAAAAAATGGGTCAACATTTAAATACTCATTTGAGAGAGAGGGTTTAGGGTTTAGGGTTTAGGGTTTAGGGTTTAGGGTTTAGGGTTTAGGGTTTAGGGTTTAGGGTTTAGGGTTTAGGGTTTAGGGTTTAGGGTTTAGGTTAGGTTTAGGGTTTATTGGGGTTTATGGCCTTTTTAGTGTTCGGGTTTAGGGTTTTAGGTTTAATGGTTTAGGGTTTAGGGTTTAAAGGTTTTAGGTTTATGGGTTTAGGTTTTAGGGTTTTAAGGGTTTAGGGTTTTAGGGTTTAGGGTTTAAGGTTTAGGGTTAGGTTTAGTTTTTCCAGGGTTTAGGTTAGGGTTTGGGTTTAGGTTTTAGGGTTTTAGGGTTTAGTGTTAGGGGTGATGGTTTTAGGGTTTAGGGTTTAGGGTTTAGGGTTTAGGGTTTAGGGTTTAATAGTGGAAAACCCAAGGAAAAGCTATTTTTAGAAAAGCTATTCCATCCATGTCTTGGCTACAAATGGGCAAGGGGGTGGGGGTCGGGTGTGGGGTTTAATAGTGGGAAACCCAAGGAAAAGCTATTTTTAGAAAAGCTATTCCATCCATGTCTTGGCTACAAATGGGCAAGTGGGTGGGGGGTCGGGTGTGGGGTTTAATAGTGGAAAACCCAAGGAAAAGCTATTTTTAGAAAAGCTATTCCATCCATGTCTCGGCTACAAGTGGTGGCAAGGGGGTGGGAGTCGAGTGTGGGGGTCGGGGTGTGGGGTTTGATAGTGGAAAATCCAAAGAAAAGCCATTTTTAGAAAAGCTATTCCCTTTATATTTTCGCTACAAGGGGTGGCAAGGGGGTGTGGGGTCGGGCTCACAAATGGGCTTCAGGGGAGGCGGGTGCCTGTGTGCCATACGACGTGGTGCGATCTTGAAGCTTGTGTGCGGCTTGGTGCGACTCTGAAGCATGGGTGCAGTGCGATTTGGTGCGATCTTGAGACAGCATGTGTGCGACTAGGTACGACTTGGAAGCAGCTTGTGTGCAGTGCGACTTTGAAGTAGCTTTGTGTGCAGTGCGAAGTGGTGCGAGCTTGAAGCTTGTGTGCGACTTGGTGCAACTTTGCTTGAGCTTGGTTTGGAGTGCCTTGAGCCTTGTTGCTTCAGGTGTCAAGAATGGTAGATGTGCATGAAGCAGGCCGGGGAGCTATCAACAAGCCTAGGCAGACCATGGCACAAAGCTGCAGTGCAGAGAAACACCTAGACTCGACGGGTCAAATGTGCAGAGCTGCAGCGGCTTTTTGTTCAAACAACAAGCTCTTTGCAAGTAATCTTGTGATCATGGATTCTGCAACAGCCAGATCCAGATCTAGAAGCCCTCGGGCATCCTCGTCTGAGGACGAGCAATTCGATGTTGAAGTCGAGTCTGCTGCCGAAGAGCCGGAGCTCGACGGTCAAGCTTGGCAGCTCGACTTCAACAGCTTTGGCACCGGGCCTGTCGACGTGGATATGATCTTCAAACAGACTCTGCCCAGAGAATTGCCTGTCGGGGATGATGTGCTGTACATCAGCAAGGAGGGTGCGGTCCCAAAAATCTATCCTGAAAGGGGATGTTTCATTCATTTGGCCGCACATCCTGTGGATGTCTTTTGTGCTGCTCCCCCTGGCTGCCGAAATTTGTACTCTGGCAAAAGGAAGATCTGCGAGGCACTGGTGAAGCAGGGGTTGCAACTTGCTGTGCCATGTGTGGCTGGGGAGTCACTGATGCTGGGGATGACCAAGATTCCCTGCAAAATGTTTCTTGCTGCCTTGGAAGCCTGCAACATAGACACAGTGTACGTGGGACACTTTGGGGCCCGGTGGCCTTGTGCCACAATCGGGGACGGTGTCCGTGCCGGGGTCTTAGCTGGCTTAACCTCTTGGCACACTGGTGTTGACCTTGCTTGCAGACTGGGTGACAAAACCAAGATTTTATTGCTTGGTTTCAATATTGGCGACACAAGTGGTGTTACCAATATCCCTGCCTTCCACCCAGCCATGTGCCCTCTGAAAGCAAGGGTCCACCCGATTCTACCGGATTTACAACAAGGCAGCTATCCTGTGGTGCATCTTGGATTGTATAGAAGAAGCTTTAAACTACAAAGTAAATTCACTTGATATAAGCTGTTTATTGGGCCGAAGCAAATGGCAGGTATGGCACTTTGGAGATCAAGGCCAGAAGATCTGGCAGGGAAGCCCCCCTTAGGGGGAATGATGTGGGCAAATATTTGATTGCCTACCAGTGCCTGCACAAAGCCTTCAGAACCTTCAAAGGCCAGTGTCATTTCAGCAGCTTCCCCAATTGCCACTCCACAATCAATAAACAAATGTCTGCAGCAGGGCGAATTGTTAGGTGCACTCTCGCCACACCGGACGATCAGCTTGGAGGACTTAGGGTGGAAGCCAGGGCCACTTGCTCTGAGCTTGGCCAGCAAGCCACACCCGAGCAGTTGGCATGGCATTGTGAGAGAAGGCTGAAAGTCTTCACAGCTTTGGTGCTGCATGGTGTCTTCGACATGAAGGACCCTGGGTGCAAGTATGTAGCTAGCTACTGTAGTTATGAGTGCCTCGAGCAAGCCGTGTGTGTGTGTGTGCAGTGGCCATGCTTGTGCGATCTTCCCCTGTGTGGCCTTCGTAATGAGCCGTGCGATAGTGTATGCAGCCTGAGTCTAGGTTTGAGTTGCTTTATAGGTGGGCTCTTGGAAGGAGATCTCAGTCCAAGATTACAAGATGGCCATTGAGAAAGCTTGGGATGAGTTTGAGAGTTTTCCTGACCACGGCCCTGGCTTCGCAGCTCGAAGACGTTCCTGGTTTAAGCTTTTGTCCACATTGGGACATATTTCTGGCCGATATGAAAGACACATATTTACATCACTGAAGCCACAGCAGGGGAACGATGTGGCAGTGGAAGAGCATGAAGTGGCCGCACAACACCCTGCCGAGGAGCCTTCGGCAAAGGAAGTTGCTGCTGGGCCACAGGGGTCACAATCAATTGGTCTGCCCAATGCCGCCAACTACGACCACATCCAGCAAGAGAACCAGCTGACAGATGAGGCGAAAGCAATCTTAACCAAGCTTCCACTCAAGACATGCAAGGGCTCCAGGAAATATGTGGTATATTACAGAAATGGATGGGGTTTGTCGACCTCCAAGAAGTGCTACAAGTCAAGTGGGTTTGCGACAAGGGAAGGCTTGTCTCAAGCCGTGGCTGACTGGTGTGCAGACGGTGGCGATGCCTGGCACCTCAGAGTCAAGCTAGACTGACAGCCTCCGTGCCATCAAAAAGCCTGACTGAATGCCTCCTTCCGTGCATTTTGATTGTTCCCAAGTTCCCAAGCAGTTTGCCAGGCCGTGAAGCACGTGTGCGGACTGGATGGATCCGTGGGACTTTGAATCAGCTCGTCTGCACTGTGACTTGGTCGATCTTGAAGTTTGTGTGTGTGTGTGTGACTTGGGCGAACAGGTGTGAACTGAAGCTTGTGTGCAGTGCGAGTTTGAAGTAGCTTGGTGTGCAGTGCGAATGGGTCGGATCTGAAGCTTGTGTGTAGTGCGAGTTTGAAGTAGCTTAGTGTGCAGTGCGAACAGGTGCGAACTGAAGCTTGTGTGCAGTGCGAGTTTGAAGTAGCTTGGTGTGCAGTGCGAATGGGTCGGATCTGAAGCTTGTGTGTAGTGCGAGTTTGAAGTAGCTTAGTGTGCAGTGCGAACAGGTGCGAACTGAAGCTTGTGTGCAGTGCGAGTTTGAAGTAGCTTGGTGTGCAGTGCGAATGGGTCGGATCTGAAGCTTGTGTGCAGTGCGAGTTTGAAGTAGCTTGGTGTGCAGTGCGACTTACTTGTGTGATTCAGCTTGTGTGCAATTCAAAGCCCTCAGCCCCGGAGCCAGGATGGGGTGAGGCTTGTGGGCGAGCCCCAAAATGAAGCTTACATAAGAGAGCTGTGGGAGGAAATCAATGACTTTTCAAGGGGCCCGAAGCCCCAGGGTTTCGTGCCGATTTTGTGCTTGTTCAAGTGGCACACGGTGAAATACCAAAATGATATTCGGCTTTTAGTGACGAAAGCCAATTGCAAAATATCAGGTTTTGAATAGGGAAGGCTGGGGGGTGTCCCGGAAAGGACGATGGACAGAGTGGGAGGAAAGGGGCGAGACAGGGGTCTGGAGGCTCAAAAAAAATGGGGTCTGAAGGGGAGGGGTGTCAGTGCCCAAAAGCTGAATTTCCATGCAAAAAGCCAAAAGCGCCAAATTCGTATGAAAAAGTAAGGGGCTTGCTAAGGGAACAATTGAGGTCGGAAGATTTTGGGCCTTGCCTATCGAAAACCGCCCAAAAGATGAGGCCCAAAAAAGTCAATTTTTGGCACTTTTTCGAGATCCATTAGGGATGGTGAGAATCTTGAATTTTTGCATTGAAACATATAGGTTTTGCTAATGAGCAAAATGGATGTTGAGCATTCCTATCAAAATCGAAAAAATACGATTTTCGTCGGATTGCCCTAGCTACTTGTCTTTTTTTACAAAAAGAAAGCCGGCCTCCGGCCGGCCGGAGGCCGTTGTATTCGTGCGTGACTCAAAAGCCATTGTATGTGTGTGGAAAATTGAAAGTTTTTGCTGGGTTCGCGAAGCGAGAAATTTTTTGGTTTTTATGCAAAAATTCGTGCAAAAGTGACAGGAAAGGGGAGGAGGGGGGGTGGTCGGGTTGAAAATTGGGCTCAGGGGGGAAGTGGGTGAGGGGTGGGTGTAAACTGTGCTGCCTGTATGTGCACAGAGCCTTGTATATGTGGGCTCTTGGAGCAAGGCTTCTGTGTGCAGAAAGCTATTGCAGTGATGTAATGTATCTGTCTATGCTCAGTCATGCAATGTGTGTGTGTGCTTTTACAGCAAGCCTTGTGTGTGCAGTTGATCAGTGCAATTCAACTGTTCGTGCTGCTGGTGCTCCTGCTCCTGCTCCCCTCCTGCTCCTGCTGCTGCTCCTGCTGCTGCTCCTGCTGCTGCTCCTGCTGCTGCTCCTGCTCCCCTGCTGCTCCTGCTCCTGCCCTCTCTGCTCCTCCTGCTGCTGCTGCTGCTCCTGCTGCCTTTGTGTGGAAAATTGTGTGCAGCCTGTGAATGAATGTAGCTGTTGGTGCTTGGAGGGGTCCGTGTGAGTGCGAAAGGAAAGTAGTGACCAGTGCCGCCGACATGATGGCTTGTGCCCTTGTGCATGCTCTCGTTCTTCTGTCCCTTTGCTTGTGCAGCTGCAGCCGACAAGATTGAAGCAAGTATTGCCAGAAGCCTTGTGTGTGTGTGCTCTGGAGGCAAGGCCTCTGTGTGCAAATAGATAGTATCTGTGCAAGTGCAGCAGTGCAGCCTGTGAATGCATGTAGTTGTTGGTGCTTGGAGTCCGTGTGAGTGCGAAAGGAAAGTAGTGCCACCGGAATGATGGCTTTGGCCCTTGTGCATGCTCTTGCTCTTGTGTCCATTTGCTTCTACGACAGACGAGGTTTGGGCAATAGTTGAAGATTTGGGCCTCCAATTGCCTTTCTGGGCCAGCCGAGGAGGTTTAAGTAAATTGAAAGGTCTTGGCCACACAGCAAGGTTTAAGTAAATTGATAGGTCCTGGGCCCCAGAGGGGAGGTTTAAGTAAATTGAAGGGCCCTGGGCCCCAGAGTAGAGGAAGGGCCTGGGCACCAGAGGAGGGGGGCCGTGTGAGTGCGAAAGGAAAGTAGTGCCACCGAAATGATGGCTTTGGCCCTTGTGCATGCTCTTGCTCTTGTGTCCATTCGCTTCTACGACAGACGAGGTTTGGGCAATAGTTGAAGATTTGGGCCTCCAATTGCCTTTCTGGGCCAGCCGAGGAGGTTTAAGTAAATTGAAGATTTGGACCTCCAGTTGCCTGTCTGGGGCCAGCGAGGAGCCCCTGCCTCTGCCCCTCCCCTGCCCCTGCCCCTGCCCCTGCCCTGCCCCTGCCCCTGCCTGCCCCTGCCCTCTCCTCCTGCCCCCTGCCCCTGCTGCCCCTGCCCCTGCTGCCCCTGCCCCTGCCCCTGCCCCTGCCCCCCTCTTTGCCCCTGCCTGCCACCTTGTGTTCTGAGCAAGCCTTGCAGTGTGTGTATGTGCGACTTGGGTAAGCAGTGTTTGTGCCAGTGAATGCCTTGAACCAGCCTTAGGTCTTCCCTGTGCTGACGACGACGACCAAGTGCCTTGAGTTGGCTGCGAAGCGACGGCAGCGACGACGACGACGAGATGATTGGCGTGCTTGTGTGTGCATGTGCATGTGCGAATTGGCGAACCGGGGTCCGTGCGGCTGGAAAGTGTACATGTAAAGAAGAGGAGTGGTAATGCTTGTGCAAGAGTTTTCGGGTTTAGGGTCTAAGCCCGAAAACCAGACTGTGTGCAGTGCAGCTTGAGGGTCTGTGCAGTGGACCACCAGTGGGGGCCCGGGCTCACACTTGGGCCAAAGGTGAGAAGCTTATTTGCAAAATAACTTGGTGCGATCTTCAAGCTTGTGTGTGACTTGTTGGTACAGCTTTGAAGTAGCTGATGTGCAGTGCGAGTTGGTGCGACCTTGGAGCTTGTGTGTGACTTGGTAGGACTGCGAAGTAGCTTATTGTATGCAGTGTGACTTGGTGCTACCTTGGATCAGCTTGTGTGCAGTACGACTTGGAGGTGTGTGTGTGTGTGTGTGTGTGTGTGTGTGTGTGTGTGTGCAGTGCGACTTGCTTGAGTGACTCAGCTTATGTGTAACTCAAAGCCCCCAGGATGGGGAAGGATTGTGGGGCGAGCCCCCAAAATGGAGCTCTCAGAAGAGAGCCGTGGAAAAAAAAAACAACGATGTTTGAAAGAGTTCGAAGCTGCAGGATTTAGTTCCGATTCTAAGCTTCAGAAAACAGCAGTTACAAAAATGCAACAATTGATTGATATTCGGGTCAGAATGCCAAAGGCCAGTTGCAAAATGTGGAATTTTGCACTGGGAGGGCTGAGGAGTGTACCGGAAATGACGATGGCCAGAGTGGGATCGTACAAGAGCGGCGGAAT